TATATATATATATATATATATATATATATATATATATATATATATATATATGTCCTCTTCTCCCTCTCTGCCTACGGTTTACCGGGCAGTTCTATTTGACGATATATATATATGAACAGGGTCTTATTTTATTACCTCATTTAGCTACTTTAGGATGGGGTATAGGACCAGGTGGAGAAGTTATTAATACATTCCCTTGTTGTCCTCTTCTCTCTCTCTGCCTACGGTTTACCGGGCAGTTCTGTTTGTGACGATATATATATATATATATATATATATATATATTGTTATATATATATATATATATATTGACGATATATAGCCTCCTCATGAGTCGGTGAAACTCCGACGAAACAGTTTGTCACAGCCCCTCGTTTGTTGTCCTCTTCTCCCTCTCTGCCTACGGTTAACCGGGCAGTTCTATTTGACGATATATATATAGAGAGAGAGAGAGTTATATAATCGAATTGATCTTTTGAACATGATTGTGTTACCTTGTGGCTTTGTGACGTTTCATCAGATTTGTAACAGCAACATTTATTTTTTGGAAATCTTGCTCGTTCCTGCAGCGTTATTGGTGTTTTTCAGTTCTTCACGCTGTTGAGCAGGGACACGGGGAAAAAAAGGGGAGCCCGCATTTCCCCCCAAAGAAAACAAATGTGGATATCTGGCCAGATGAATGGGTATGTTTGCTAATGGACGATATCAGTAAACCTGGGCAACTGGGTTTTCCTTGTCAGCCATTCAGTGGGTGACGTGTCCGCATCTTTTGTCTGGCCAGGGCCTTAATTTTAGGGCGTGGTCTTTGGGAGGCATCATTGTGAGAGTAGTACTTGGTTTAACAAGGGTCCGAGAAGGTGGCAATTTCGACAAAACCGAGGCCATGACCTTCAATTTTCTGTTTTTTTTTTGTTTTGTTTTTTTTTCCCCCCTGTTTGAAAGGGTGACCCTGTGACAGGTAATTGAAATATATTATACTCATCTGATTTGGTGAGGGTTTTTGAACTTAGGTCTAATTATCATAAGGTTCATGGGTGTCCCGTTCAGCTGCATGTGCTGTACCATCCAGCTGCATGTGCTGGGTGGTGTTTGTGTCTGGGCAGAAGTGTTTCGCTTCCTCTGGGTGACGATGGACGGTTCACTGCAGTTGTGGTGGGTGAAGTGGCAACAGGTGGACAGGTGTCGGCATATGATTGTTAAGTGCATGC